GTGAATTTTCAGAAATTTCAGAGAATAAAAATGCCAGAAGAGCTGCAGATCCATCTAAAATGAAGAGAGCTGTGAAAAATGTTGTCGTTAGCGCAGGAAGTGTTTTCACTCCATGATTTTGGCAGAATAAATGAATCAGGCTATAAACATTTCAGCTCCTGGTTTGGGAATAGCTGCAGACTCTCTACAATGTCTGTGTTACTGAACCGATAAGGGAAGGGCAGGTTCTACAGAGCTCCTAAAATCTCCAGCCCAGTTATACAACAGGGACAGGCACAGTGTAGTGTCCACACTGCCCCGCTCAAGGTTTCAGCCACTTCCAGCCTCACAATTCATGAAGCAAAGCTGGGCAGCCAAAGGAAAAAAAAAAAACAATGCAGGAGGAAGAGCATGCCGTATCTACATAACACAGTGTTGTAGGCAGCATCTGTCAGAAGCAGTGAGGAAGCAAGTTTCAGAACCAAAACCAATCTATCTTTGTCAGCACAGTGCTGCACTGAGATTAATTGGCCCCACAGAAGACATCAGAGGAGTGTGGGATCCTCCTGGGTTGGGCCTCCCAGGCTTCTGGCACCTTCACACAACCACTGTCAACACGTTTTGGGCAATATCTAGTGCAGGCTGCACAAGGTAGCCCTGGAACAGGACCAGCCCAGGACTCCATCCTGCTGCTGGCTCTGGGCTGTAATTGTAGCCTTTCCTTCTCTGGTCTTGGCAAGCCTGGGCTCTCGGAGTCAAGCTGAGAGAGCAAGAGCAGAACCCATTCTCCACCAGCTAGATAGAGCACTGGACATGTACTATTTCCCAGAAACACCCATCAGGAATCTGGGAGTCCAGGATATTAAGCTGAGAAAAACAAGGCTGAGGTGAAGGCGCAGAGGCAGTACAAAGCATCAGCACGCTTTAAGAAGGCGGGCTGCTGCATCAACTCCTAAATCTGCTTCAAAATTTCTGAACCAAAGGTGACTACAGGCTGCTGAGTCAGCAAGAAAGCAAAACTTGCACTGAAACAGTTCCCCTGCTGTTTTCCAGCTTTGCTGCTGCAGCAGGCATTTGACCTTGGTATCAGGAACAATTACACCAAGGGTACTGTGACAATGGGACTCTGACTCAGCTTTACAGTCACTTTGTTGCATACAATTCCTGTGGCTTTGCTAGGAGCTGTTAGTATTTCTATATAGAATAGGCCTTCAAACAGGATAATTTGGTCACAACCACCAGCACCACACATTAAATCTCCTTTTCTAACATCCCAGATGTACCTGAAGACCACACAGGTATCTGGAGCTCTACTTTCTTCAGTACATTCTGTTAATTCGCTCTTCATACAAACAGTCACTGAGTTGGTTAGCAACAAAACAGAAGAAGCCACACTTAGCCACACACACAGTTTAAATATGCATACCAGAGAGGGAGAAAAGTTCAGCAGAACTTTTAATGTGAAAGATGCATTCTCACAACTTCTTTAATATTGTTTTAAAAATCATAACCTCGAACAGTGGTTTTTTAAGCACCAAGGGACTCCTGCAACAGCCTGCTGAACAGAGAGGGATGCAAAATCCTTGTGCGAAGGGACCTTATTTCCTCCCAAAGCCTTTCACTCTAATTCCAAGTTCCTTCAGTTCATGTCACCAGGTGACTCTTCTCTAAGACATCTGGTTTATTTACTCTCAGCTGCTGCCACCATCACCTCCTCTTCCTTGAGTTGCTAAAATTGAGTTGCAACAGGCTTGAACATCCCTGAATGAGAATTAGCTAATGCTTCAGGTGAGCCATAGGATGCATGCCTACCCACAAAGCATGCCTGTAGCACAGAATGCTGGCATAAACTAATACCAGCTGCAGAACTGCCCTCTACAATCAGGCACAAACACAGGGAAAAAAGCCCTCAGTGAGGTACAAATCCAGAAGGATATCGCCTATCCTTTTGTCTTCCGAATGCAAGAGCAGCAAGTTAGGCTTTATTTCTCCTTTAGATACAGAAAGTGTGAAATGGAAGCACTGAAAGCTGTTGTAGCATGGTTCAATAGTTTGTTCATCTGTACTAAGTATGATCTGAAAGAACAAATACTATGAACCATGTTTTCAAAAACCGTGCTAACCATACCATATTAGTCTAGGCACCCCAGTTCAGTATCTGTCTTCCAAACCTGAACCCTCAGCTAGCATCCACGTAGTGCTGGAGTGCACAGAAGCAAGGTTGTAGTAATGCACCGTCCTTTACAAATGTAAAATAGCAACAGCTCCAAAACTATTTTTTTTTCATCCACTTCTGTTCGGTGTTTCCAGCAGACAGAACTCTTTGCAGGTTTCATTCAGCAGGTATTTAAACACTGTTCTGCAGGAACGACTCCCTGAGTCATCCACTCCAATACTGCAGGCTGGTACCCAAAATGCTGTGGTCATCATTCCTATAATGAGGCTCAGAAGGACCCATTAGATTATGCAGATTAAGAACATTCCTGTACGGACAGGAAAAGCAACTTTAGCCCTTTTGGCTGGAAGAGTCAGATGATCCCTCCCTTGCTTAAGATGTCATTATCTAAGATCCTTTCCTCCTGGTGAGTGACAGAAGGACTCCTGTCAGTCTGAAGCTTAATATCCTCACATTTTCAGTCACGTTTTATTTGCATGTATAGCTACGGAACATGCTAAGTAATGCCTCTCCATCTTCACCTTCCTGGATTTTTAGATTCTCTCTTTAGAAAGGAAGGAAGGGATTCATTTGGCACCACAGATGAAGATATTCTCCCTTTAGACAACTGCATTATTTTGTGAGCGTGTTGGGTAAATATTTGCTCTAGATTTCCTTTCCAGCTTTTAGAGGCTATGGTCATGTGTAGATGTGTTTTACTGAAAATATTACTGAGCCAAACTGCACTTTTTACTCTTGCCCACTAACTGTAACTGTTACTGTGCCCACTAAGTTGACTGACTGTAATTTAGGAAAGATCAGCAGTCTGCTACTCACTGAGCTATACATTTACAGCCATAAAGTGACCTGCAGCTTTATATACACATACCGTACAGTGTGGTGTACACCTAACATTTTAAGAGACCTTAAGGGAACACATAATTTTAAAAAAAAAAAAAAAAAAAAAAAAAAAAACAAAATCCAACAAATAAAAGCATGCAGATACAGTTAATAGCCTTAAAAATCATCTATTGAAGCAGTAAGATTTAAAAAACAACAACAGAACAACAGAAAACACTAAAAACCAGGCTTTCTTCCAAAGGCAAATAAAGCAAACAAACTGCACATTTCAAGAATGTTTCTCTGCTCATTGTCAGTTCACTTCTGGGAAGAAAAAAAGATATATATATCACACAGCATTTCTAGAACCAAATAAAAAACACCGAAAGAACCCTTCAACTCGTTAACCTCAAAGAAATAAGGAAGAGAATTAATGAATACAACAACCATATTCAAAAAAATTCAGCTCCTACTTCATTCCAACTGGCAAACACATTTCAGACCAAAACTCAGAAGGGGGTAAAAGTGGGAGTGAGGAATGAGATTTTTCTGTGCTTATTCCTTTACCAGTTTATCATTCCTTCTTTTGATTTTCTGTAGAGTTGCAAAAAAACTCATCAGGATAAGAATGACTGCAGCTAAAGCAAAGCCAAGGCTTCAGGAAAGACGTCTTGACCCAGCAGGAAGGCTGGAGCGAGCCTGACCTACCTACCAGAACCATCCCCGTTGGCCTGAACTTCCAAACACATTCTCAAACAATTATGTTCCTTATCTTCCAGCCTTGAGATTTGTGTTCAATATGCAAAAGAAAAGGATTCATTTACAAGTGGTTGATAAGAAGGTTTTCAGACTACAGCATAAGCCTGAAAGTAAAAAAATATTTGCAAAAATGTGTCCCCTACACATTTTTTAGCTCCTGTAACTATACACTAAATGCTGCAAATGGATTCACCAGCAGTGGAAGTGTTTGGCAGCCATACAATGTTTTTATAGCAAGATATATGTCCTTGTTCAAGCCAGAAATGAGTTCTGGGAAGGCCTACTTTCTCTCACACACCAAGTTACATTAGGAAATCATGAAAATCCCATCTGGTTCAAAGAACAATCTGATAACAGTAGCTTAAGCAGTACAGTTCCAGGGGTACAAGAAGTATGAGGTAACTTCAGTACTGCACAGATGAGTTAGAATTCAAATAAATTACAACCAGCTTTTGCTTGATAGATCAATCATGATACCTCTTCCAGGCTAGTGGAAGTTCCAGTGGAAGTTGGTATCAGCTTACCATACATTTTTGTCCAGTTTCTTTATCATGCCACCCTCTTGCACTCAGGGGAATAAAACATCAAAAAAAAATATTGCCAAAAGATAAACAAGCCACATGAAATTAATTTCAAGTCCTTGAGAACATGCTGAAGGTAAAATACAAGTCTTAAATTACTTTAAGACTTTAATCTAGTTATTGAATACAATCTGTAAACATGTTATTTTTATCCTTAGAAAACATTTGACGAGCTTTGAGCATCTAAAAACAACCCTCATATTCTTAAGTTCAAAGATTATCCACTAAAATGACCATTTGGGAAAGCAGCTGAGTGAGAACTCTATTTGTTGGAGATCTCTGCTTCTATAACATTAAAGGAATGCCTGTCTTCCGTTCTGATCTGTTGAAATGAGGGCTGCTCTGTAAATAATTCCTCGTTTTATTATGTTGGCCCACAGTATCAGAGGCAGATGTTGGTGCTATTGCACTAGAGGTTGAACCTTCCAACAATATTCCCTTACAACACTAAGGCTTCAAATAAACAGCATTTGTCACAGGGCATTGTATGTTGTGACAAATGCCATTTAAAAAAAAATACTTCAGTGACCTAGCAACCTTGAGAAACGTCAGCCCCTGCATTATCCAGTCATCAGCATACCGCAGAATTCTGATGCAACCTCTTGCAGTTTTGGAGAACATACATCAAGTCTTTTTCCAGCAGGCCTAAGCCATTCCTTTCCACAGAGTACTAATGCCATACTTACGCAAAAAGTGTTTTTCCAGTAAGGCTATTTCCAGGTGACCTTTGATTTCATTCAGTCTGTCAGACTCCGTTCTGTTAAAATCCTGGACTCCTGAAGCCATGATGATGGTCCCTGGACCAGCCTGTAAGAAAGCCAGAACACACTGACAGCTCAGAGGCACATTTGGTTTTGGTCATTTAAATATATCAACTTACTTTTAGTGCAGTAAAGACAGCCGTGGGAAAAACACACAAGTATCAACAATTTTGCATGTCTCTTAATCTGCATTTAACAACCAAAAATGGATGAGTGCAAACCAATCCAAAGCATGGTATCTTTCCCACATGAATCTGAATGACGCAGACCTCAAGGAGATACAGAAAACAAATTCTCTTTTTCTGCTCCCTCAGCATCTATGCCATACCATCATTTACCCTTTCTTCTGCTGATTTGAAAAGTGTAGTTATACTATGCACCTCCCACTCCCAGTTAAGAAACGATGTGACATACTTTACACATTAAATTGAAAAGCTAGTGAAAGAAATATTCTAAATATTTACTCTAAAATAGCACCCTGGAGGTCCAGGCGGAGGGGAGTCAGGAGACTGTCCTGACTGATTTATTGCTGTCACCCTGAGCACGGGAAATACTGCTGGAGATGAGAATTAAAGAGCAATGTGATCAGTTAACAGCAGTGACAATCGCCACCTCCACAAAGAGAGCAGAGAGAGAAAGTGAGCCCACACAGCAGAAGGCAGGCGATGCTGCCCATTTCTCATGAAGTGAGCATTTTCAGAAAGCAGGGAAAGGAGTGTGTGTGAGGGCATCTCTTCAGCAATGGAGGGTGAGGCCCTGCATGCAGTGCCCACTGCTTACAAGAAGGCTGCCAATGAGGTTTACAGGAGGCCAAACTGAACGGCATTACGGGAGCCTGCATTTTGAAAATGATCTTCAGACAAAGAGGGATTTATCATGAACACTTCCCCAATCCCTATTTATCTCTGAAAACATACAGGAGCTCTACTGCTGAAGTAGAAGTCTGAAGTCAGCTACATATATTTAACTGCAACAGTTTAATTACATACTTATATCAACTCAGCTAACTTACAGGAGAGTTAATTAAAATACATTTTCTATGTCTTAGGAAAGGATGTACTAAGATCACAGGCTGTAAAGTACTTTTACTGGTGGGAATGATTTGCTCTTTTAAATAAAGCAGTGTGGAAATACCTATTAAACATCTGTTTTCTTGCTCAAGCTGAACACAGTTTGAACCTCAGAACTGTCAATGAAGTAAAATGAAGAAGTGGTGGACACTTACTGCAGGACATCTACCTGGCACCAGCTTCCCATCTGGATTTGTTTCATATAGTGCCAAGCAGGGATGCTATTTCCTGTTCCAAAAGTGCCACAGTGACACCCACAATCCTGCAAGCTGTCGGCCCTGATAAGAGAAGCTGCCAGCACAGCGCTGCTCCCAGCTGGAGCATGAGCATCCCAGCAGCATGGCACAGCAGACAGACAGAACCCACAGCCATACTGGTATGGAGAGATGCAGCACAGCATCCTGCTGTCCAGGTACCACATCTCCCATCCAGCCAGTGAGGTGCAGCACTACAGGCCACCTGACACTGCTCCAGCCTGGTGAGAAGAGCAGTTTATTTCCAGATGAGCATAGGACGGTGATTAACCTTGGTGTTGATTTCTTATCTTTAAACCTGGATCATATGCATTCAGTGCTGTAGGACTTAGTGTTACTGCTTGCTAGACACAGCCCCACTGAGGAAGGTGTGGCAGACGTCAGGCAGGAGCACCTTGCAATACGCTATAGACAGGCAGAAGGAAGCATTATAAAAATGCAGACTGCTACCCAGTCATGAAAGCACAGATTTTACATTGCAACTGAGTTTTTATCACTCTGTGACTCATACAGGAGGGAGCTTAACATGCTTGGCAGAAGTACACCTTGCACAAGAGGACAGCTTCTGGCCCCAGCATGTAGGATTAGATATGGAACTGGCTAAAGACACTGCTGAGAAAATACACAGCTTAAAAACAAAACAAAAACAAAACAAAAAAAAAAAACAATACTAAAACCCCCACACAACATAAAGGCCAGAGAGTAAGGTGCTATACTCATCAGAAATGCTCACAAGCTATGCACATCAGGCCATGTGATAGCATGTGCTGTGACACTTCAGCCGTACTGCTAGAGGCACACTGCTCCTGCCACACTGCTCCCCAGTCCCCAGCCCCACGCAGAGCAGATGGGATAGAAGATGACAGGTGAGGGAAGAGTGGAGGGAGAAAGGGGCTTGTACTTGTCTGAGATATTCAAGTTTCCACCCAAGTAATGGGATAAAAATCAGCAGGTACACATAGAATCATAGAATGGCATGGATTGAAAAGGACCTTAAAGATCACCTAGTTTCAACCCCCCTGCTGGGGGCCATTAAACTAACCCCAAACAACCTAAGCCAGAGAGAAGAAAACAAATAAAAAGATAGATTAAAATATAAGGCTGCTTGCTAAGAACACCAGGAGCAACATCATGCAAGTACTGTATGATGTACAATAATAATGAAATGGTTTAACCTGAGTAGTAAGATGAGATGCACAGCAACACAAATTTGGTGAAAAACAGAGCACCCACTCCAAACTTAGTGACATTGTAAAGTATTGCTGAACACAACTGAGAAGGGCCAAAAAAGTGAGCACATACAGGAAAGAGAGACATTTAAGCAGATGGCATTTCTGTCAGAGAAGATTTTTCTCCACGCCAACACACCTTGCTCTGTCAAGAGGTGTTATGGGCCAAAAAGATAAGAAATGAGCCTGTTACGTTCACTGGAAGTCAGCTGCCTGTCTCAGGAATGCATAACTGACTCCACTCACAGGTTAATAAAAAATGTTCCTGTTGTAATTCCTGTGTTAAATGGGTAATAGCATTTCCTTCTTCAGCTGCTGTAGGACAGCTCAGGGACTGGGATTGGATTAACACAACTCTACTGTACAGATGCCCTTTCTTGCTTCTGCATGACTCAGTAAAAGCCTTAAAGGCTTCCACAGATTTCTGCTTTTCCATAGCTTCTGCCTCTGCAGCTTTGACAATGTTTGACGCAAGGACCCTCTTAAAATGTTGGCAATCACAATTACTTAGCGAAGATGAGTTTGCAGTGCCTAGGAAGCCAGCAAAATGCCACGGAGTTGAGCAGGAAGAGTTTAAGTCAGAGGGGTTAAAGGCACATTGCTGATGACAACAGATAACCTGCTGTCTGAACTCCTGCTCCACACCACATCCAGCTCCAGGTCTGAAGGCAAATCTCACTGGCCCACTAATGTGCTTTTATAGCCACCTGCAGTTTAGGTTTTTAGCAACAGCACCTCTCAACCTGAGAGCTCTTTACCTTCTACAGACTTGTATCCTGAGAGCCCTGGCATTTGGTTTTGAATGCTGAGCACCCAAACCAGTGAACACCATCACTGCGCAGCCGCAGCAGAGGAACTCCATTGCTCAGCAGATACGGATGCATCTCCATCTGCAGTACAGCATATCTCAGCATTACACAGACATGCAACTGTTCAACTCCTTTTATTTATTCACACAATATCACATGGAGATTTTTTTTTCCAGGAGCATCTAAGAAGAAGTTGGTCTTGTTTCCAGGTTTGCAATTACCTTATTAGAGGAACAGTTCCCAAATGAAACAACTACTGACGCAGGCAAAGATGAGTGCTATTTTCACTGCAATTTGCACACCACATTGGTTGCCATACCCGGGGACAACAGCTTAGATATAACATCCTGCCCTTCTCCCCCATTCCTCAACAAAAACCCTCACATATTAGGGCTGCCCAGAATGCACACGACTTCCAGATTACTTCCTTCATATACCCACACGCTATGAATTAGCCTGCTGTTCTCAACTGACACTGCTCAAAGATTCTTTGAAATAAGCAAGGGTTCACCATGGCTGCCACAAGTACCTGCTGCAGGGAAGGGAAAAACACCAGGCAGACGGCTCAAGAACAAAGCATCCGCATCAACTGCTAATCCTCAATAGCTGCTCTGGGAAGCACACCCACAACAGATAGCTCACAAAGCACTGCTATATTTTGAAAGATTTTTTTTGTTGTTATTTTAGTGGCAGCTTATTTTATCTGTAATGTTTGCCTGAGTCTCTATATCTTCAAATCATTGCAAATGAGGCAACAGATACACAAATTTTAAGGTTTTAATTGACATGTTTCAGGAAAAGCCAAACTGTACTGGAACAGCAATTAAATTAATGTTTGCTGCACAATAATAACTCAGATTTAATCCTAGCACACTGGCAGGGAACTTGCATAAGTAGATTAGGCTGCTTTCAGTACAATATGCCAGGTACCAGAGAGCTTCAATTGGAAATTCTCCCTGAGTTCAGTGCAGAAGCTCCTGGGGCTGAAACACAAATTTGTTCTTCCCCTCTTCTGCCCAAGGGGACGTGATCCTCTCTCTGCTGTACTTGAATTCACTGTGTGTACTAGGAAACATTTTCTCCCTCTTATAAAAATGGAACACTTTTAACATTAACAGTGCATAAATGCACCTGGATCACAAAACAACAAGACACTATATAGAAGGCAAGACAAGCCAAAACAGGCAAATACAAGGATGGGCCATGATTTCCAGGGTGCAGTCCCAGCCCTGAAGATTTGCGTCATAGCAAATCAGGCTGCAGACATTACATCTATAAAATAGGAAAACGTGATGCCTGAGTCTTCCCCCTGTACTCAGCACTGGTGAGGCCGCACCTCAAGTACTGTGTTCAATTTTGGGCTCCTCACTACAAAAAAGACATTGAGGCCAGAGAAGGGCAACGATACTGGAGAGGGGTCTGGAGCACAAACCTTATGAGGAGCAGCTGAGGGAGCTGGGATTGTTCAGTCTGGAGGAGGCTCAGGGGAGACCTCACTGCACTCTACAACTTCCTGAAGGGAGGTTGTGGTGAGGAGGGGTTTGGCCTTTTCTTCCAGGCAACAAACAGGACCTGGGGAAATGGCCGCAAGTTGTACCAGAGGAGTTTAGGTTGGACATGAGGAAAAACCTTTTCTCTCAGAGAGTGGTCAGGCACTGGAATGGCTGCCCAGGGAGGTGGTGGAGTCGCCGTCCCTGGCAGTGTTCAAGAGGCGCCTGGATGAGGAGCTGCGAGATGTGGTTTAGTGCTTGTGGTAGCAGCGGTGATGAGAAGACGGTTGGACTGGATGGTCTTGCAGGACATTTCCAACCTTGCGATTCTATGATTCTATTCTACGTGATAGCACTGAATGAAAGGGGCTTTAATTAATCAATTAATAAATCTTATGTAAAGTTTCAACATCACAATATAACAAATGCTAATACTTTGACTATAAAGAAGATGGAATGGACCAGGTTACTCACAGTCAACTCAATAATTGTGGTGTTTTGACAAAACAAGCTTGAAATACCATTGCTGCATATGGAGTTGAATGTCCACATTTATAAAAAAAAAAAAAAAAAAAAAAAAAAGCCTGATGCTAAAATGGGGAGAAGGAGTAATCTGGGAAGCCATTCAAGAACTGAAAAACGCTTCACTAAGAGCTTATTAAGCAACACAGTGTCTGGGCTATGACATGGTCACAGTGTCCAGGAACCCACAGACACCTAAGAAAGTAGCTGCTATCCCAGAAGTACTGGGTAGTAAGGGCAGAGAAGGGAGAAGTACAACCTAGTCTAGCCATAGGCATCCCAGTTCATTGCAGGGGAGCTGGACTAGGTGGCCTTTAAGAGACCCTTCCAACTCAAATGATTCTATGAAGTAACTACACAAGGAAATGGACAGCCTGTAGGTCAAGACTGAACTAGTTCAAGGTAAGAGCAACGAGTTTTTTGAACAGTACAGTAGATTCTGAACAGAATTCAAATGAATTCAAAGAAAAACAACAAATCTTCAAGTCTAGGGCTTCCCTCGCAGTGCCAACCTGTTCTTATGGAACAGCTGCTTTACCCAAACACAGGTCCAGGTGTTTATTATGGAGCTAAACAGGTAATGCTTACAGTTTAAGATAGAGCATACAAGATTCCTTCATCCGGTCATCCTTTCTCTAGCCACAGGATGTAAATTCTGCATGTGTTACTTCAGTAAGATGTGAAGTTGTGGGACTAACTCCCACAGCTCTGTTTGTGGCTTGTGACTGAACATTCACTTAACTTGCTGAAGCTGGATAACAGAGAATACTCTTCTCTGCACACCATTAGACTGAAAAGTTAGAAGTAAAAGCAAAGCAGTGAGGGGCAAAGAAGAAACCTTTAACAAAGGGATGGCTGACAGCAGACTCAAAGACATCCGTGTACTCAAGATGCAGTTAAGGGTGCTGAGACTCAAATCTTCCACGCTTATGTTCAGGTCTAAGCCAACAGTGCTGCTGTTTCCAGCTCAGGAGTTCTCCACTCAGATTTCAAGAGAAACAACAAAGCAACAGAAGTGAAAATACAGCACCAGCTCACCTGTACATGAAAATACACGTGACCTAACTTCCATTTATGCACAAGATTTGCACTCACTTCTGTCTGCTTTGAAGAGCTCCCTCAAGTATTCATCAGGAAGAAATCAACCCAACTTGGTCTTTTCTCGATCCCTCTCCTAGACAGCATAATCATAGTATGATGCCACGGTGCTTACAAAGCCTGTGAAAGACAACCACCCCATATAAGCAATCTAAGATTTGAGTTTCAGTCATGGAGAACAGTTTGGGCAGAACTCAAGCATCTGATCTCAACAAGAAACAGACATAACTCAGAATCCCTCTGTTCACATGATCTCAGCCACTATTTTAACACTGGCTTAAATACAGAAGAATTACTTTGGTTACTCCTGGCAACTCTGCAGGACTAGGGGTTATTTCTTCTCCCTTCACTTTATGGGTGGGCAGCAGTGCTTAGGAGGACAGAAGCCTTCCAGAGCCAAGTAGCAATCCCTCACACTTTCCATGTGAAACTTAGCCCCTGTAGTTCAGGTCTCTTTCCTCATCCAAGTTTGCTTTGCCACTATCTGCAACACAGCTGCTGCTCTTAGCCAGTGGTTCTGGCATCACACTGGCTTTGGAAGTCACTAACACTATGAGCAGGGCATAACAAGTTTGATAGCATTCCTGCTTTTCTTTTCTCCCCTTTCTCTCTGTTTCTCTGTGCTCAATTATATCCCACAGAGTTAGATCAGGGCACTCCACATCATGTAATCAGCCAGCTAGCAAAGTGCTTCTCTTCAAATTGGTTTCTGAAATTGTTCAGCTCTGCACACTGAGGTGTCTAGATGAAAATAAGCCACTACTTAGCTAAGATAAATTGAGACAATACCATGTTGGAAGAGTAAAAACACAACAGTCTCAGTACATACAATAGATATGTAGTAACAAAAGACAGATGCCATAGAAGAGTAAGAGCAAAGGAAAGATATTCAAAAGACCTTCCTTGTCTGAGGAGCTTGACGATATGAATACAATAGGTTTTTTTGTGACACAGAAATGCTCTGTTGTTACCACTTGTTTCATTATCATAGGAAACAAAACCTGGCAAAAGAGCTTCATATAAGCAAAGACCATTTGTACTAATATATGCTTACAAAAAAAAAAAAAAAAAAAAAAAAAAAGGCACCATTAATAATAGCCACTGAACAGGATACAAGCTGCCAAACCAAAGGAAATGCTTAACCCTACACAGATTGAAATCTTTCAGATGATTCCTCTAAGCAGTGAGCATGCGTGTTTGAAACATGGTCCAGCTGTTATCTGAAAGCTTGTATCTGGGTCCAAGAACCACACTGTGAGTCCCCAGAATGGTACAAGTTCTGACTTCAACAGCTGAATTGCCAAATTGTAATTTAGATTGTACCCAGTAGTTCAAGCTCAAGGACCACAGTCATATAAGAGGTCAAAGGAGGATTCCTTACATTGTTTTAAAAACAATATTTAACAATTCCTGAAGCATTTCTATTTTTATAGAAAGCCATTATATTCAGTTGCTCCTGCTTGCAAGTGTCAAAAAGTTGTAGCGGAAGAGTCCTGCATGGGGTTAAGACAGCCATGAAATACGGCAGCATCACTGGATACAACACTCCAGAAAACAATGAGGAATCAGAAACTGTATGCCTACAGTTCTGGGCAGTGGCAGTTATGAGTTTTTCTAGCTGAAAAACAACCAGAAGTTTCTCCTTCATATTTATTAGTATTTTAACAAAGCAAATAAAACTTGAGAGCATTCAGAAGCACATCCAAAGTTAACAGACTTGTCAATCTACAACATCTAAAAACAACAGCAGGAAGAGAAAACATTACTATTAAGAAAGTACCTTGAACTTTCCACAGTGTGGAAGCCTACTTAAAGCTTTATTCCCAATCCACAAATCTTCAAGTGCTAAATGCAAAATATAGGGGGCAAGGAATTATTAATTTGGTTGTTGGTTTTTTTTCTACCCAACAATGACATAATTAACAATACTTGAAGCTAGTACTTACAGGGTCTCTCAGCTCTTCATTGTCTCGGGGTGATGTTCGAGGTATTTTCACTGGGATTTCATCTCCACATTCAGTGTCAGAAGCATTTGGAGACTCTGCTAAATCAAGGAACTCATCTCTCTTGTGACCTCTGAACCTTATTTTGTCCAACTTCTTTAGCATGTTCAGCACTGCACTCTTCTGCTTTACCTTAACATGACGGTTGGAGTCTCTGCAAGAAGCAAGACATGAAGAGTACTTTAGAAAGGTGCACGGTTTGTTTTCCAGTAGTTGATAACTTACCATCTTCCTGCACATCTTCCCCTACTGTTACAACCTCTTTCTCATAGCTATTTCTAAAGACAGAATGGGAACAAACTCACAACCTACTCCCAAAACAAGTTACTTTAAACAAAAAAGGTTCAGTTGACATTGTTCAGCTTGTTGACATGTCTAATTAAAGACATGAAAATCCATTACACATCACAACCCATCTTTAAATCTGAAAAACTGAAGAAGAAGAGTAGCAAGGCTATCATAACACTCTCCTACTTCAGAGTAAGAAAAAGGAAGGTAACAGGGATTCACTGAGGAATGCAGACAGATAGATCGACACTGAAGATCCCATCAAAAATTCATGGATGGTTGAATTTGATATAGCACTTTTTAAATATACAACCAAAATCCTTAACATTATTGTTATCAACAATCTTGTATACTTCGGGAAGCAATTTTGCTAGATTTCTACAACTCTCTTCTCAGTACAAAGGAGAATAACTTCATTAGTGATTTTCACATTGCCTAAAGGCAGAGCAAGCAGAAGTTTACTCTGAGTGCAACAGTTCAGCCAGCACTTCTGCAAACAGTGCAGATATCATCTCATCGGGAGGGATAGGAGATGCACACCTATCACTTCTGGAGATAACAGCTCATGCAAGAGTACTTGAATTTAGACTTAAATTTAGTCTTAAAATTATAATTCAGAAACCACAGAATCATAGAATCACCAAAGTTGGAAAAGACTTCTAAGATTATCTAGTCCAACCACCCACCTACCACCAATATTTCCCCACTAAACCATGCCTCAAACACATCCAGGGATGGTGATTCCACCACCTCCCTGGGCAGCCCGCTCCAGCACCTGACCACTCTTTGGGATTAGAAACTTTTCCAAATATCCAACCTCAACCTCCCTGATGCAATTTGAGGCCATTTCCTCTCGCCCTAGTGCTGGTTATGCGAGAACAGAGGCCGACCCCCACCTCCCACAACCTCCTTTCAGGCAGCTGTAGAGAGCGATAAGGTCTCCCACAAGCTTCCTCTTCTCCAGACAGAACCACCACAGCCTCTCCTCATTAGACCTGCACTCCAGACCCCGCACACCTCCAATGCCCTTCTCTGGACATATTCCAAAGCCTTGATGCCTATCTTGTAGTGAGGGGCCCAAAACTGAACAGAGAACTCAAGGTGCGGCCTCACCAGTACTGAGTATAGAGGGTTGATCACTTCCCTGCTCCTGCTGGCCAAACTATTTCTGACACAAGCTGGGATGCCATCTTGGCTGTCTGAGCACACTACTGGCACATGTTGACTAATACCCCCAAGTCCATTTCCTCAATGCAGTTTTCCAGCCACTCTGCCTCAAGCCTGTAGCATTGCCTGGGGTTGTTGTGGCCAAAATGTAGGACGTGACACCAGGTCTTGCTGAACTTCATCCCACTGGCCTCAGCCCAGCAATCCAGCCTGTTCAGATCCCTCTGTAGGGCCTCCCTACCTCCAGGAACATCAACACTTCCTCCCAGCTTGGTGTCATCTGTAAGCTAACTGACAATGCACTCAATTCCCTCATCCAGGTTATCAACAAAGACATTAAGCAGGATGGGCTCCAGCACTGACCCATGGGGAGCATCACTTGTGACTGGTTGCCATCTGGATTTAACCCTGTTCACCACCACTCTCTTGGCCTAGCCCTCCAGCCAGTTCTTTACCCAGAAAAAAATTGTATCTATCCAAGCCATGGGCTGCCAGCTTCTCCAGGAGAATACTGTGCGAGACAGTGTCAAAGGCTTTACTGACGTCTAAGCAGACTATGTCAATAGTCTTTCCCTCATTCACCAGGCAGGTCACTCAGTTGCATAAGGAGATCAAGGTAGTCAAGCAGGACCTGCATTTCATGAACCAATGCTGGCTGGGCCTGATCCCCCAGCTGTCCCACACTTGCCATTTGATCTCACTCAAGACAATCTGCTCCATGACTTTATCTGGCACTGAGGTCAGGCTGAGCTCAGGAGCCCCCAGTACAAGAAAGACAGGGAGCTGTTGGAGAGGGTCCAGAGGAAGGCCACAAAGATGATCAGAGGACTGAAGCGCCTCCCCTATGAAGACTGGCTGAGGGAGCTGGGCTTGTTCATACTGGAGAAAAGAAGGCTGCTGGGTGACCTCATTGCAGCCTTTCAATACCTAAAGGGAGCCTACAAACAGGAGGGGAATCAACTCTTTGAAAGTGTAGATAACAACAGGACAAGGGGAAATGCCTTTAAGTTGAGGGAGGGAAGATCTAAGATATCAGGGGGAAGTTCTTTACAGAGAGAGTGGTGAGGTGCTGGAACAGGCTGCCCAGAGAGACTGTGGATGCTCCGACCCTGAGGTGTTCAAGGCCAGACTGGATGGGGCCCTGGGCAGCCTGGTTTAGCATTGAATGGGGAGGTTGGCAGCCCTGCATGTGGCAGGGGGGTTGGAAATTCATGATCCTTGAGGTCCCTTCCAACCCTGGCCATTCTGTGATTCCGTGAGTGGCCTGTAGTTCCCCAGATCTTCCTTTACAACCTTTCTTATAGATGGGAGTCACATTGGTAAGCCTCCAACCCTCTGGAACTCCTCTGGTTGACCAGGACTGTTGATAAATCACTTCCACCAGTTCCCTCAGCACCCTTAGATGGATCCCATCTAGCCCCATGGATTTGTGGCAGTCCAGGTGGAATGGTAGGTCTCTAACTGTTTCCACTTGAACCATGGGGGGCTTACTCTGACTTCCAGGTCAGAGGCTAGAGTACCCTAAGGATAGTTGGTCTGGCTTTTAAAGACAGATGTACGAAAGGCACTGAGAACCTCAGCCTTATCCTCAGCAGTAACTTTCCCACCACATCCAGAGTAAGGATGGAGATCCTCCTTAGCTCTCCTCTAATTGTTAACATACTTGTTAAAAAGCATTTTGTTCTCTTTTACTATGGTGGCCAGGTTGAGTTCAAGCTTGGTTAATGCCTGATTTTTTTCCCTGCACATCCTAACAACTTCTTTGTACTCTCCAAGTTGCCCATCCCTTATTCCACAGAATCACAGAATCGCAAGGTTGGAAACGACCTGCAAGATCATCTAGTCCAACTACCCTCCCATTCCTATTAGTACCACAAGCTACTAAACAATATATAACCATATAAACCATATATACCACAGGAGGTAGAGTCTCCTTTTCTCCTGGAGACTTAGAAAAAGTTCCCTGTTCACCCATGCCAGTGTTCTTGCCCCTCAGCTCATCTTATGGCACAGGGGGATATCCTGTTCCTGCACTCCCCCTGAGCTCCTTCTAGAGGAGCGTTCAGCTGTCCTGGACCCTTTTACCCTTCAAGGACCAACTCCCAAGGGACCGTCCCTTCCAGCATCCTGAACAGTTCAAAGTCTGCCCTCCAAAAGTCCTGGGCAGCAGTTTTGCTGACTCCCCCTCCTGACTCCATCCTGAATACAGAACTCTGCCATTTCATGGTCACTCTGCCCAAGACAGCTCCCAACCTCTGCACCCCCCACTAGGCGTTTTCTGTTTGTGAACAGCAGGTCTAGCGAGGCACCTCCCTGGCAGGCTCTCTTAGTAGCTGCGTCAGGAAGTTATCTTCACACGCTCCAGAAACCTAGACTGCTTCTTCTGCACTGTACTGTATTTCCAGCATACATCATGGAAGTTAAAATCTCCCAGGAGAACAAGGGCTGCGGACCACACAACTTCTGCCAGCTGCTTGTACCACGCCTCATCCGTCTCTTCATCTTGGTTAGGCAGTCCATAACAAACCCCACCAGGATGTTTGCCTTGTTGGCCCTCCCTGTGATCCTTACCCACAGAGACTCAACCTCATCATTCCCACTCCCAATCTTAACAACATTAAAACCCTCTCTAGCATAGAGAACCAAGACAAAGCTCCTCCTTCTTTGCCTATCTCTTCAGAAGAACTTACAGCCTTCCATGACAGCACTCCAGCAGTGGAGGCGCTCCCTCTACGTTTCAGTAATAGCAACTAAGCTATAGTTTGCCTGCTGCACAGCAGCTTCCAGCTCCTCCTTTTAGTTGTCCATGCTGCATGTGTTGGTGTACTTGCACTTCAGCTGAGCATTTGTCTTATCCCCAATCCTGACATTGTTCCCCTCGGCTCATCTTTAGTGAGCCTCATTTTAACCTCTTCCTCTTTCATACCTGCTTTAAATACTTCAACCCAACCAGGAGAAGCATTTTGCTTTTCAGAAGACAATATAAGAAAGATGAATTAATATATGCAAACTCATCGTAATTCTAGCTTTCTAAGACACTGCACTGTACCACCTATGATTTAAACTGGGCCCCCTGACTCAGTCCATTTCAGTGTTGTAAACTTATCACATTGGGTAACAAAGGTCACAAACTCCAACTTCAAAGTCAGTTCCTTGATTACACCACTTCAGAAAGCTTCCATGGGCATCTACTGCGAAATAGCCAGTTTTTTTCTTCATGCAATTTATTTTCCTCAGCTCAGAGGCCTTCACATGGAGGATGCTTTAAAACTTTCACAAATGAATGCCTGTCAGGGTTGAAATCTGTTCTGATGCATCTGTTTGTATTACTATCCTCTTTTCCCTATGGTCAACATTCTCCTCTTCATCGTTAAAAGAAATGCATTAGCTGCATTGCACATCATCACATTATCCCAGGAACCAATGCAACATAAAAAAGACAAGCAAGATATAGACAGGCAACACCTTTGACATATAGACAGCAAGAAAGAGGAGCCTTGGCAAGACCAAGGGTACAAGACTGGAGGTAATTCTCACCTCCTTGTACAAATCTCTTTCAAGCAGAGGGTTCCCTCTTTCTCCAGATTCCCCTTCTACAGCAACTCTTCACACCAAGCTCAAACCATTTGAAACTAATACAAATTCCCTACAGCACAGCCAGCTAAAGAAACATCTTCCTTCATCAGAGTTGCAGCCCTCTGTTTATTTTTCCTCTTCAACCTCTTGTAGTGGCTCACCCCAAGGTTATTTTCTACGAACTGCTTCTCTTTGAAGTTCTATTACTTGTCAAAGCTAAGCTTAAAATAGAAACACTTCTGCTCATTCATTGACTATATGATGAAGAAAGTTGTCAGCTATCACATCCCAAACTATCTCCAGGCCCTGCTATTAATAGAAACTGAAGAGCAAATGCTATCAGGGAAGTTTAAACCCCTGATAAGCACTGGAACAAATGCATTATGCTCCCTCCATCTCAAAGATCTCCATCACCATTCTGTTGATGTCACCAAGTATGCAGGTCAGACCCACAAGAAGGCAGTTCTCAACCAGGCTTCTCTAGCCATCACCCCTTCCATCACTGCATGAAGAAGAAATGAGGATGGCACACGCTGCCTGATACCAACAGAGACAAGCATTCCAAGCCACATCCACCCTCCTACAGACAAAGCAGTTGGCTCAAGGTTGCAGATGGGCATCTTTCCTCAGCACAGCTAGAACCCTCAGAGTTCCTTGTTGGGATTATGCTCATTCACTGCTCCCCAGGATCAGGGCTGCTGCAGGACCTTTCCTAACAACAGGCTGGCACATACAGCACTTCAACGGCCATTTTGAGATCTGAAGTCAGTTTTCATCTTAGAGTGGATTCATACACACCTTATAAAAGCAGCAAGAGGCAACAAAAATACTGAGACACAGCAAACTCAGATACTCTTCTTCTAGCTTTGCTTTCAAAGGATGAAAACTGAAGGACCCACAAGGCCAGTGAAGAAGCCCAAGATTGTATCTGCCTGCACTGGGACACTATTCAGGAACAAGAAGTCCAAATGGCAGCTGTCTCCTAGGGATCATTCATGTGTTTCAGCCCTGCTCATAGAATAACCAAGCCAAAAGATGTGCCCAAGAATACACTTACTGTATTTTTACTAATGAAACAGATGTACCTGTCATTAAGTGTTTCAGCACCTGCTTATTTAAAAATGCAGACCTCTGTTTGAGACACTACCAGATTACTCCACTAAACAACATGCTCAAATTCTGTAATGGAGAGGCTAGCAAGATCTCATCAGTGTATTAATTCCTAAAATTATTATTCAGTAAGTCTATCATTAAATGATTAAATAGCACAGAATTGTGTTCCTAGGCATTTTTGTATTTAAACAAGAAACTATCACTTAGAAATATCTGCTAAATTATAAAACAATATGACCATCTTGTCTAAAAATTGTTCAAATGTAACAGGCTCCCAGATTGCTTAGCTATACTAGAGAAGAAAAACTTCAGCTTGCCAAGAAGCTCCTATAGAAGCTCATTCTTTGGCCTCAAGCCAAACACGTGCTCTCAGATAGGCTTTTCATGTCAGCAGCCTATTCTTGTAACAAGCAACTTCTTCTTTTTTAGATGAAGATCGATAAATATGGCAACATTTCAATAGCTTCGCATTCACTAGAAGAAAAGCTTCTCAGAGATTCCAAGTGACTCAGATGAAATCTAGCTAAGCATGAGGAAGCAAATAAGTCTCTACAGAACAAAAAGAAATCTATTTGTAGGTCAGAATCTGGTCTTGTAAAACACAGTAACTAAATACCAAAACACCTGCTTCACCACCACAGCTATTCACCCCCTTACCCTCTCCCAGCTCCTCCATGTCCCAGCCCCAGCCAGCTCAGCTCTGAGTTTCAGGCTGTTTGTAGAGAGATCCCATAGCAGCAATATCAAACCTGACAGGCAGCTTTGTATATGCAGAGCTACAAGCAAGAACGCAGATCCTTCTCTCAAACTATCTATCACCAGAAAGAAATGCAACTATTTTAACTTTGCACACTGCAAATGTACGTTGCATTGCTGTACATAAGGCAGCAGTTGCTCACATTAGCATACTACAAAAATAATACAAAAATTAAGATTGGTATCACCTTCATAAATCATTAATTCAAGCAAAATAAATGCTAATTCTTACAAGACTATTTCTGAAACAAGCACTGCAGTATTAATGCAAGCAACGAGAGATCTTTCCCCCGTCCAGCTCTGTGGCACTAAGCACAGGGTGCAGCACGGCAGACGCTGACTCTGCAAGATTGATTTAGGTCCAACATCACGGCACCGCAGCCAGACCTCGTAACACTAGCAGGCCCTCTTCATGATACGGTGCAGCTATCTTGCATTAACGTGCTTACAAACAAGGCTATTCAGGCACCCATGTTTTGGTTTTGTTTGTTTGTTTTTTAAGAAGGTGGCTTTCATTTCTCTCATTGCAGTGGCAGAGGTCAAATCAGTAAAATTAAATACCAGCCTGTTAAAATTATCTTGGCTCCCAAATCATCCTGTAACAAGGTAGGCAATAGCTCATGTACTTACTTGATGAGCTTGGTTAGGGAAAAAGGTCTGTACTTGTCACATTTAAAAACCAAGCAAATGCTCAAACAGCAAAACCACCTTTGATTTTCTTTTTCCATTGCAATCAATATCCTTTGGCTAATGCAAAAACTTAGTGGCTGAAGTTCTATTTCTTTTACAGAGGGCCAGAGAAGAGATGACTTTATTTGGACCTAGAACTAAAACCCTCAATTGGCACCAAAAATAACTATCAGACTATCAGACATTTAAGCTATCAAGACTCCAATCCCCAAAATAACGTTTGCACACATCCCAAACTTCTGATGAGGAGAAAAATTCAAGTTCTCCTAAACTTTCTCATATAAATCACAGAGATCTGAAGCAGTCTTCCTGCAAGTGTTTCCAGAGCAGCTTCAGCATGAAGATAGCTGTGAGCTACCCCTGAGCCTCAGGCAGCTGGAGAACAACCAGAGCCAGCCTGCCCTGCATAGCCCAAGGATCAGCAGTTACAGGACTTGCTACTATGGAAAGAGTCTCACTTCATCACAGCACTGCTCCCCACCCCTCCCCCCAACTAACTGTCAGATTTTTGGCAGGTCCCGAGCTAACACCAGCAGCCCTTGCAGCCCTGTGGAAGCAGCAAACACGATCTGCACTTGCCTGAATGTGGAAAAGTCGTTCCCCTGCAGCTTCCTACGAGTCGCTTAAGGGTTTCGGTTTTCTTTTCTCACATCCAGACTTTGACACCAGAACACAGCGAGTGTGAATATATGGCCTGCTAGACCAGGCAGAGATGCTGCAACTAAATTCTGATGTACACTTTGTCAGAGAGGGAACTCTGCTTCACAACCCTTGCAATCTTCTCATCTGATAACGAAATGCAGAGGCACTACACAGACAGCATCCCCTTGGCACACATTCATTGGGACTCTGAGAAAAAAAGAACACAAAACACTACAACATCATAGTGTAACTATATATAAAATCAAAAAGGCCACACCAGACTGCGACACAGAGAAAGCCCTCAAAGCACCTGTGCTCCTATCGCTAGAAAAACAATATTTCAGAAAGCTAAAGACATTAGAGCCAAAATAGATCTAACATACCCCTGCTTCTCATCTTCACATTTCATTTTCCTTCACATTCTCCTTTTAATCTCAAAACGTCTTTCTACAGAAGTCAGGGAGTTCTGGTATTCGGTAAGAGCTCAACTGTGTGTGTGAACAAACACAGGCAGTGTCAACACCAGGACGTTTCAGCCTTATCACGAGGGAGGGACATGCAAATGGAGGGAGTGGACAGCATCAGGCTTACTTTAGGTATTCACTTCTTTTTCAGTGAAACAATCCTGCGTATTCTCTTGACAGGAAAGCAGGGACACCACAAGCTATGCGGACGGTCCATATATGTCACCAGGTAGAGCACTGAAAACAAGGCCTGGCATGCTTCCTTCTGGACATGTCTAATTAAAACAGGACCCTGAGTGGAACACCTACACCTACAACAGATTTAAAGAGCAGCTCTGTACAGAGCTCTGCACAAAAGGTTCCCTCTTTCTACACACGTTCCTCCGGCTTTTCTTTTTAATGGACAGAATCTCATCTGAAGTCACTGTCTGAACATTTTGTACTTATTAATATTTAAAAACTTTAACTGGAGAAAGATCAACTGACTGCACTGTAAGATCCCTGGGTAGCCTGGTCTGGTGGTTTGCAACCCTGCAGATAGCAGGGGGGTTGAAACTCGATGATCATTGTGGTCCTTTTCAACCCAGGCCATTCTATGGTTCTACGATCCCTGCCTGTTCAGTTCTCTTTCCCCTGTAGTTCTCCCAGTTTGCTCTCCAGAAGGTTCAAATCTGTTCAGAAAACCAAACCTTATTTACAGCTTCTTCTCTCGAACAACAGGAAGTGGTTTTGTGTAGATAAAGTCGTTATCTTTCAAGAAAACTTGGCATTAAGCTCAATTTGAGAAGACACGGAAGAGTGGGGAAGGGATGACACAGCACAGCACTATCCTAAATCCCACTGTGGAAACATGCATCTCACTTCAGACCACGCAATAGGTGAAATTCTCCGTATAGAACCATGTCATTGTTTCCCCAGAACTCAGCCACCAGCCAGCACAGTTCTCCTCCTACCAGCACCTCACCCACACACTGACCAAGAGCCTCGGAAAGGAACGCTCTAAGTGGGCAGCTAGTTTCCGAAAGCAATAATCCTTGCCTGCTTTGGAGCTAGGGAAAAGGCCACGCACTTTATACTCACTGGAAACAAACTGCAGTCCTCTGGGCCAAACATTCAGTCAGACCAGGCAAGAGCAGCATATAAACGCCTTCCAAAAGTCACAAAGGTTGCACAAGTGCCCTCAATTTCTCACATCAGCAGGCAGAACTTAACCTTCAGAGCTAAGCTCTCTCCACACGCTCAACTCACCACAAGCTCATCCAGAAATTAGTCACTGCCTTCATGCCACAGCCTGCTATAATCTTCCTCAAATTATCTTACCCTGGCCCCAGAGTCATAACAGGATGCATCCAGTACACAGAGCAAACTATTTTCTGAGTAACACCTGTCAAAAGCACCCGATCCTTTCAAGGTCAGGAGCCCTTAAAACACTACTCTTGTATGGGGATCAGCTTTTTTTGGCATGAGAAATTACATTATCAGTTAGGCTACCTACCTAAGGTTTGGAGAAATATACTTGTTAATTCAAGTTTCCTTTTTTCCTCCCCTCAAGTTTAAAGAAAAACAGATGAGGAAAATCCAGCCGGAATGTTCTTGCCAGCATCAAAGACATCTTGCAGAAGAAAGCACCCCACTCCCACAACACTCAATTAACACCAGTAGGAAAGAAGCAGGAAGCTGTGCTTGGACATATTATAAGCTTTATTAGATGCAGCTATTAATTGACAATAATTTATATTGTTGGAAGGTTGGGAGAAAAGCAGAAAATGTGTAACATCTTCTAAGGGAAAAACCCAGACATAGGAGACAGAAGTTTAAAACACTGATCTTGACTGAGGTGAGGTTGTCACAGCAACCATAGTGCAGCTTCATGAATATGTATTACTCTGAAATCTATTTTTTCCAATAGTCTCATGTGTCATTCAGTATCCAACACGAAGCTGCCTAGGAGATGGACCAAGGTAGTACAGTAAAAGCCATCTGTCTTCAGAACATTCTCTTTGGCAGCTGTAGGCAGGAGGGACAGGGATGCCACAGAACACAGCCTCATACTACAAGGCAGCAGAGTGCAGCTGCAGGACTGGCTTCTGGATCTGCGACAGAGTTCAGCCAGTGGTCCCCCAAGGAAGGCAGAACTGCTGGGCAGTCCCCAGCCAGATGAACCATGGGGACCTGGTTTGATTACCACTGGAATACTGTGGGATGCACAGAGTGGAAAAAAAACACCACCACCCTACACACATACCTACACAGGTCACATGTCAGTGCATGAAGAAACCGAGATCAGTAACAATTGCAGCAGAGCAGCTATTGGAGGTGTCCTTTGTACTTAACTGGAAAAGTCCATCTCCCAAAACACAGCTCTTCCAAAAATACATTGACACCTTACTTCCCCGTACCATTCTCTAATCACAAAACAATATTAGCAAAATACATTAAATTAATCCCTCTGTAAATTGTTTAAGTGGCAATTTTAACTCTTGATCTAGGGAAAAACACTGCTGATCCAACTACTTTTTGTGTTTGCTTTCTGGCAGGGTTGGTTTAATTGGAGCAGACATCCATTCAGCCTCACAGTTGCACACATCATTGCAGCCCTCACACCTCCCTCACAGAAGAGGCTTCTGGTCACGGGCAGAGGAGAACGTATCCTGTTACAGCAGCCACCCGCACCCAAATCAGGTTCAACAACTGTGCAACCTCGCCCTGGAAACAGCCTTTATGAAGCTGCTCTGCGACATCTTCCAAAATCAGGCCCACAACAGATCTTCAGTCCCTCCTCTGAAGGACGGATGGCGAACGTGTCACAGATTAACACAGACAAAATGCATTTGTCACTCTCTCACTGATTTCTGAGGGCTGGCCAGGGGCGCTGACTGTGAGGATGGGAAGAAGAGAGCAGCACCAGCTCAGCAGTGGCTCGCAAGGCGGCACAGACCCACAGCTCAGCTTGGGCCCAGCTCCAGCAGGCAGAGCTGGGGCAAAGCACCACAACAAACAAACGAACATGGAGGCTGAAGGGACCACTGACATGGGGCAAGGTTATGTTCTCATTACATCCATCTCTTTTTCCACTCTTCTACTGGAAATATACAAAGCCTACCTTGACATAACACTTGGAATAAAGTTGGCCTTTTACATACAATCTGTTTTAAAATAAACATTTGAAGTTGAAAGTACACACGCTAGCACAGAACATCTTAATCAGGGTACTAGATTTATTACGAAAGGTGATCACTGCACTGTTTATAAAGTGAAAGCCCTGTTAGTTCCTTCAAGTAAAAACAAATGCAAGCTGTCGTGACCAATGCAGTCAAACCTGTGGAAATACGCAGTCAGCACTGAACAATCTGAATTAGCACAGTCATCATCTTTCAATGATAAATACAGATAAATTAAAGGAGTGCTGTGACAAAAGGCACCATGAATGGTGAACCATACTTCAAGCTAAGAGAAAGGCATTTTGGCAACAGCCTGCCGAGGTCTATGCAGGATGGTCTGGAGCCTCTCAGAGAGGTCTCCCAGCAGCAGGCAAGTACTTCTACTCCAGCTCACAGCTCACCCAGTAATCTTCAGAAACAAAAGCGTAAAACCTGATGTGTCGTTTGCACGAATGACTACGCAGTCACTTTGTAATAAATATTTCAACTTGCTATTCATTAAAAATATAGAAGAGAGAGAAAAGGCACACACCTGAAGCAGGACACAGCTCACTGCAAGTGACTAACGCAGCGATCCTCAGCTCAGCACAGCTAAGATCATGCAGCTCACACTCGAAGCAAAGCCTGTCCCAACCCTTACCAACAAACACAGCAGGGCCATGTCTGTTCCCCTTTCACACTGGGCAGTGCATCACAAGCTACCTATGCACTGCAGATGTTCTTAGGCAAGACCACTCCAAAGGAGTTACTAAGCTATCACACAAAAGATCACAGATACTTAACTGCTATGCTAACTATGCAGTGACAAAATGAAGTCTCCTAACTTTTTATTCAACCACGGGTTCCTCCAGATCATTCAGCTATTACACCGGGGCACCTAATTGAAAACAAGGCTATGGGCAAAAATACAGAGTGTAGAAAGATAGTCTATTTTACAGGCTTTCTTCAATTCAGAGAGGATTCAGCAAAAGGTAACAATAACAGTTTTATGAGTAACCAAATTATCAAGAAACCATCTATATGTGAACTTTCACAGACATGCTTTGAGGGTGTGGTGATTCTAAGCATAGTGCTGCGTTAACTTGCTTCTGCAAACCTAAGCTATTCTACTGTCATCTGAAAGATCTAAGCCTCTATATGATATAAAACTCACCATAAGTTAACAAGTACTTGAGATGCAGTGACCACAGAAACCAGTGATGGACACAGCCAAGGGAAGAAATGGAGCCTTTTACCAACCACCTCTCCAATCACTGTACATTCATGAAAATAAACAAACACCAAAAAACCCACCACCTTCTCATAAATAAAGAAGTTCAACACTTCTAGTACATGAAAATGAACTACAGTGATATGGCTGGCACATCAACTACACCCATAATCACAATACAGAATCCTCAGCTTAATTCCTACTGGCATTGAGCTCATAAAGAATGCATAGAATCTCCAAACCCCACATTTCTGTGCAAGAAGCAGGGCTGCTTTTCGTTCTGCTCCTTTCCCCAGCAGAAACCTGAAAACACTCTTCCTGTTAATGTCTACAGACGTAGAATTGAGGAGGAAGGAAAAAATAAATCACTGCATAAATTAGGAAACTATGTCGTTTTCTAATTCCTCATCATATCAACTTCTAAATGAAGATACAGTTAAGTATTGTGTAAAAACTTCCAAGATAATATGTAAAAAGGCACTCTGCTAAAGAATGCTATGCTGCACAAGGCACGTAGGAGGAATTTGTCCAAATAAGTTAAATGAAGAAATAACAGAGAGAAAGCAAGTAGCATAGAGTAAGTCTGTCTTTGAACAACGTCATTTCTGGCACAGTC